CAGGAAAACCCTTTTTTGAAGAAAAAAAAATATTTGCTTATGATAAGTAATGGAAAAATAAAATGCTACAGAATCTGTGTTTGTTTACGTATCTATAATCAACTTTAGTTGCGCAATCTTGTCAAACTTGAAATTTCCAGTCGTTCACATATAGGTGATTCCAGAATTATCGCTTCTAATAACTAGGGATCTCAAAATAATATTTAAGTGAAAAAAATTAAAAATGTTTTCGAAATCTGACGAACTTTTGAAGAACACGAGTTCGAAAAAAAACATTAAGCCCTGTTTGTTTCTGAGAGCTAGTGAAAAGTGAAAGACAAATATTAGAAAGACCTTTCATTTCTATTAGTTAATCAATCTGATTTTGATGCTTTTGATCTTGTCTTCCTCAATAGTAATTAGTCAGTCTTCGAATTTTTTTTTCTACATTTAACTAATTATTTACGACTTTCCAATGCTCAGATTAACACAAAACGCATGAAATTAAAATTAAAGTTTTAAATCAATTGACTATTTATCAATAATTCTGTCACAATTATACATGGTATACATGAAGCAATTTTTATTTTTTTGAAAATGTCATAAAATATATTTATGCATGGATCCTACTTTTCCAATTTTCATTTTTTTTCTTTATCTCCATCACTTGAAGATTTTTGCCCGGAAAAGAGCCGCGTTACCTGTTTTCGGAGGGAAGTCCAGTGCTGCTCTGATTCTGATTGCAATGGAGGAAAGATTTGCTGTTTAGAATTATGTGGTAATATATGTAACAAGCCAGCTTCAACAAGAACAAACGGAGAAAGAGTGCCATATTCAGAAAAGTGTAATGTTACTGATCCACGACCTTGAATCGTAATAACCACTTTTCCTGATAAGACGAAAGAAATTGTAAATTTCAAATTTATGAGATTTCGAATAAAGATTTATCGTTTTGGCGAGTTACTCTTACCTTTGTTAAAATTAAGAGAAATGTTACAATTCCTTAATCGAAATATATAAATGGGGTATGATTATAATGCAATTTGATCTCATATCAACTGAAACTATATATTTAACATTTTATTTTCCCTTAGGAAACTTTGGTAACCAACAGGTTTGCTTTTCAAATATATCTGTAATAGTAAATTTTAAATTCACGTAAGTTAAATTTTCCGCTTTAAGTAAATTATTCATAATTCTCCTTTAACATCAAATTTTACTCATATTTTCGTAATTCTATTCAATTCACATTTAATAATATATTTTGTTGTTGTTTCTAATGACACTTGAACAAGCCAAGCTCGCCAGTCATTGACCTTTTGAGAATGAAGTCAAGAGCGTGAGCCTTTCGTTTGACAAGAGAGCACCACAAATGTGAGAGGATAAATGGTATCCCTACTCATTCGGGAATCTACTTCTACAATTTAGACATAGATCTGAAGAAGAAGGAAAATTTCTTCCGATCACCTGAACCTGTGTCAGCGATCAACCACAGGGCTTTCGATTCCACAGACTTTAGGAGCACGTATATCGCATGTACTTGGTGGGTCTTAGCAGAGTCCAAGCATCGAACCACGGCCTCCTCTGTCTGGAGTCCGATTCTTTAACCACTGGTCTACCATGGCCATTTAATAATATATTAACAAACAAATTAATATTATCAAGTAATCTGAAAGGAAACTGCGAGCTTTAGAAAAGTGTAGTTTTTCGAAATAAAAATATCAATACAATTATAAAAATAATTGAAGGACTGAAGACAGCATAAATATTTGCGACAGTGTCATGTTACTCAGAAGGATTGTTTTAAGTGTTTCTTAGTAAAAAAAAAATCCACATAGGATGATGTTTCTGAGTACTGTACTATTATCGTGTGGATTTTTCAGAAATTTGTAAAATATTTACCCATCTTGAATAGATACTTAGAACAGTTTGAAGTAAAAAAGTGCACTTTTGGAAAAAATGTGACTTATCATTATATTGCTTCTAACCCTTTATTTGAATCGAAATCGAACGTTACTCAGTGCTAGCCTTCATCCACGTCCACGGTGCCATATAGGTGTTTAATCTTCTTTTACTACATCTGGGATCTAACCTTTACTTTGGCGGATTGGGGTAGCTGTCGGACTATAACACTAGTTTCTTGCTTTATTCGAACAATAGCATAGATATATTATAGGATATTCAAGTTATGGCTCAAGAGGTGCGTGAATAAGTAGTACAGCACATAATGGAGTATTTTAATGCTTTCTTATGTTGCTACAGAGACGCAACTATTTTAATATTTCTGCTGTTTATGATGCTGAAAAATACCAAATTCATACTTGCAGTGCTTTGTGTGATTGAATGATTGCCGGAGAGATTTTAACTTATTATTAAAATTCAATGCCTACCGGCCTGTGTATGGGGCAGGGAACTGTCCTTGCATCAAAAAGGTCCCGGGTTCGAATCCCGGGCGCGACTTTACACATTGTCGACTCCCGGGCACCTCCACTCGCCGCGGTTTTAATTGTCAACTGTTTCACCGCCTTATCTAGTAACCCTCANCCATAGATGGTGCCACTGAAAAACAGGAACAATCGCACCTCACTGCCTAAAACAGGCACAGGACCAAAAAAAAAAACTAAAATTCAATGCATGGAGAACTTTGACAATATCGCAGACATCTCTTGAAAATAGTTAAAATTGAAATTAAAGTGCTTCCTCGCGGTAAAAGCTACATTTTGAAAAAATTTGGTTAATATGCAGTAGCTCTCAGAAGCGTTCGTACACTCTTAACTTTCAAAGAAATAGAGCTCTATTTATTAATTAAATCGAATATTTCAGAATGGTTCTCTAACAATACGATCTTTAATATATTCTTAACAAAATATCATCGAATAAACAAGGCAAAAGCTTATATTCATTCTGTAATACTCTTTTTTAATTAAATTAATGAATAGAGCAATATTTTATTGGAAGTCATAAGTGTACGAACGCTTTTGGGTGCAACTGTATATAGTTTAAAACTAATTAAGGTGCTAGGAATGGAAGAGAGGTTAAAGAATTAAAATATTCAAATAGAGTTTTGCTGTGCATTCGACTTGGTTATCATTTAAGCTTATATGTTGCACAAGATCATTTTGAAAGGAGATCAAGCTAGTCGCCAAAATTTGGCTAGTAAAACATTATGTTTGTTCCAAATATTGAAATTCTGCAAAACCTATATCAGAAAAAAGCTAGATATCTATGTCTCATTCAAACACTCGTACATACGGATGGTAAACCTCGATTTGAGATCAGATGTATTTTTATAGCATGTAATTAGAGAGAAAAGCCTTATAAATCTGCTTATATACTCAATTATTAACAGAGAAGATCGAAACTAAAGATAGAGTTCTGTTAGCATTAGAAAACTAGTTAAATCTATCAGTAAAACACAACAATAAGAACAAAATAAACACCTGGCTTTAGATAACTTCATATTTATTAATTCAGTGACTTAGTACCAATAACTGAGATAGTAAAAAAATAATTAAATATTGCAGAACGTGCGATAAAACTCATAAACATCTACAGTTTTATTTATAGCAATGGCTATTGCTAAACTAATGCGAAAAATTCTTTTTTCAAACATTTTTCCTGAACCGACTAGTTAAAGTTTTTAAGCGGATTTTAGGATCGGGGTCTAAACCTGCTCCCCTTGTAGTCGATTTTCGAAGTTCAAGATCCTAGCGTAAGTGGTTCTGGAGTTATAATAAATTAGAAATAACGTTCCCCAACAAATAAGAAAAAAAATTTTTAAATTAAATAAAAAAAATAAATAAATAAATAAAAAGGCTAACACAAAAGCAAAGTTGAAAAAAAATTAAGTTTTCTCAGTGCAAATTAGTAAAATTAGTTTCCAAACCTTATATGGTTACGATTTTAGTCAAATTTCTCAACCCTCTTTTGTAGTTTAAGTCCATTTTCAAGTCCATTTATGGTCCAATATAGCAGAATTGACTATCATAAATACATTTGTGTAAAAAAAAAATAAGTTTCGTATTTTTTTATTAAAACTAATTTTTAAATTATTTCTTATAAGCTGTCAGATTTGTAAAATTTTTAAACCATACCCTCGAAGAATTAAAATTCTAATTTCAGCTTTATTCAAAAATAAATAGATGAAAAAAATTAAATTAAAAAACGGAGTTTTGAATGGCATTTATAGAAAAAATTAAAGCTCAAATACAAATAATATGGCACCATCTTGAAAACATATGATTTGAAGTTAGCTTCCTGATGTTTTTACACTTCTCAGATTCCTTAGTTATAAATGATTATATACTATATACACTCATTTAGTAATAAGCGTTTAAATTTGAATGTAAATACATGTAGGTTAGAGAAGAATCAAATTTGCTTTTTCATGTTCAGATTTATGAAATTTTAATGGAATAATAATTATATTAAATTTCAGGGAAGGTGTTTTGATTCTTATATGCCACTTAATATTTTATATATAGCATTCTTGCGGCTACTATGTATTATAAGAGATGTTTATCTTTCTTTCTTTTCTTTTTTTAAATTTACATTTAAATGACCACAAAAGAACTAGTTAAAAGCGTTTTGTATTGGCAAGGGTTGTACTATAACTGGAACATAGTATGTCTTATTATTCACAAACAATTATTTATAAAAAAAAATTTTATTAAAAAAAATAATAAAATAGTATCTTTAATAAAAATAAAATTAATATTTTTACTTATTTTCTTTTAACAGAGTATGTTATATTTTCTCTTATGCTTTTAATAATCAAAATGAAATTAAATGAAATATTTATTCAGTTATTTAAAAAATGATTTAATTAAATATTTTTAATGCTAAAAAATCAACTTTAGATAAATTTTAATTTTTTAGATCAAGAAGATTTTATAATTATGGCTCTGCTGTGACGCCAATTATAAAATCAAATAAAACTTAAATTGAGATATTTCTGCGAAGGGTTTTCTACGTAGGGCAAAAACAAGTTTGGCTTCGGAACAGATCCAATACTGGAACAGATATCATATACCTGTTATACATGCTCCAGAAACATGGGCCACCGTGGTTGAAGTAGTAATCAATTAATCAATGTAAGCGAGAAACCGCGGTTGGTTGTTGTGGTGAATGGTGTTTATTCAAACAAGAACTAAGCACGAACAAGACAAAACGAATTCGGTAAGTTATTCAATAATTAAACTCATTACTACTTTTAATGAGTACCTCACCGTTAAGCATTAATATAATTAATTATATGTTGATATTGTTTTTAAGGTTGTCATGTCTGATCCTAGATTAAAACAGATAAGAATCAAAACAGGTGTGGTGAAAAGGTATGACTGTCATTTATTGATGAAATGAATTTATCTACTTTATCAGGTTTCTTTGAAGTTAAACAGTTGTTTTACAATTTATTAATTCGCATTTCATAAAATACTTTTAGTGTATCATTTACTATTGTATTAATATTTTGGATTCTTTTTATGTTGGTTGACATCTGTCTCAATTGGTATTTCTAATTAAAATCATGACTATTTTCTGTCTGTGTCAATTGCTTAAAAGTGTTATTTTGTGATAGTCTGTTTTAAGCAAGAAATGGTTATTTAAAAATTATTTTAATTTTGTTGTTAAATTTTAACTTTTGATTGACTATAATTTAAAACCTTAGTTTTTAGAAAAAAGGAAATCCAGTGTGTTATAATAGGGGATATTGCTGTATCGTGATCTCTCGCTCCAATTACAATCGCCAAGGTGCCAAATAGATTTTTAACTTGCAAATTTTTGTAAAAAAAGAAGGGAAAAAAAGGAGCATTTAGATGAGTTATACCTTTCGAATTGGTCCCTTTGATGTTTTTTTTCTTTTTTTAGTTTCCCCAAAGTTGTCAAAACTTGGCGATTATTCTGCCACAGATCCCGATACAGAAATTTCCCCTGATTACATATGCAGAAGAGCTCTGACTTGCCATTGTCAAGATAGTCTGACAACTATATGAGCAATGTAACATTACAGCCGTCGCAATAAACTGCTATTGTAGCTATCCCAGCTAGCTAACTCTAATCAATAATAATACAATTGTAAATAATAATAACAAGTGAATGAATGAAAAAAATTAAGGAGAATAATACTAAGGAAAGTTGCCATTTCTGTTAATGCTTTCAGCTTTGAGCAAAGCTTTAATTTTAAATTATGGGTTGTATGCTATTTAGCTGTAAAGATTTGTTTGCAATTTAATATTTTTTTGTTGTTGAATTTCTTGGCCTTTAAAGAATTGTTTAGACTTAATGGAAGAAAAAAACTTAAATGAAACAATCATGAAGTCTTTTAAAAAAAATTACCATTTTACGGAGATGTTTCACAATGCAAACAATTTGAGAGAGCTTAGGTGAAAGATAGACTAAAAACTCACAGCAGTTATAAAAAAAAACACATTCATTAACCCCCAAATTATTTCTGTATAATATATTTCATTGAATCTTTCAAATCTAATTTATTATAACCTAATACGAGTATAAAACTTAAAATTTAAGCATATTTTGTATTTATTCTAAAATTACAGCCTGTCCTCAATTGAGGACACTGGGCATTCCAGTGAGAGAATTATCTCTTTTGGATTAACATGCTAAGATTGTGGTTAGTTCTTATTTTAAGCGTCTTTTTTAATTTTTTGGTATAAAATAGGTAAGTTGTATTATTTCTTAAAACTAAATATAATTTTAAACTTCTGATAATGCTTGTAAACATTATTATTTGAATTACAAAAAAGAAAAAATATGAAAATAACTGATTTTAGTAAATAAAAAATACCATGTAATTTCATTTTATGTATATTTAGTAGAGCGTACTTAAATTACTTAAGCACATAAAATAATTAAAAATACATAAAATATTCACTACATGAAAGCATTTTAAATATAAACTAAAGTATATACTAATTAGTTGCCCAATTTACTATGAAACTTAGGATAAGAAAGTATGCATAAAAGTACGTTGCATTTCTACTATCATCTAATAATTAGGACTGAGAACTTCATTAAATATTTACATGATCCAGTGTTTTCACTACAGCACAAGAACGCGTGAATCTCGCATATTTTTTTCTTTTCTCGCATTAAAAAATTATTACCGCGAGAAATTCGCGCATTCTATAAACCAATTTCAAAATTCGCGAACTTCTCGCATTTTGAAAGAATTTGTCATTTGCGCCATTTAGAATAAAATCTGTTTCACTTTTCTTCCTGGCTCTTTCATTGTTTTCAACATCTGCCCCATTATCTAGCTTCTCTATTTACCAGTATTGTTCAGAACCTTTAAGAACAACAGAACACCATCTCTCGGAACCTCTTTTAGAACGCATTTCTCTGCAACCACATGTTTAAACGTAGGTAAGGTTTCTTCATGTAAGAAGTTAAAATTTTTTGCGCTATAATGTAAGATGGACAAATACCTTGTAAAGGCAATATCTTCTACTCCGAAACGGACAAATGAAAACGAAACAAATACCCATTTGAGCAACCTAATGAGAATAGCTGATGAAAAAGTAGACGTAGAACATTTTCCATATCATGTGCAGCAAAAATATTCAATGCTTTAAAAGTTAGAAGGTGTTAAAAATGTATTATAATTAAAGAAATGATTTTTTTTTTCCAAGTCTCTTTGCGTGTTTTTTTTTTTTTTTTAATTTTTAGAAATCTCACTTAACTTTTTGAAATCTCACCCTGTTTTTGAGAAAGAGTGAGGAATTCTCACCCATTTTTTTTCTGCGATGAAAACACTGTGATCTGATGAGAAAACTAAGTTTTCATCAATTTCAGTCAGCGCCATTCTAAGAAATTGGATTGTGTAAACAGGCCTTAAGGTGAATGGCTTTACATAAACCTATTAAAGTGCTCTCATACCAGAAATAATTCTTAGTTCACTTTTAGCATTTCTCACAGAATTATATGAATTTATGGTCAAAAATATATTTCAGCTGACCATTATAATAAAACTGGAATGATTTTGCAATATTTTATTGCCCTATATTTTCACACAAAGCTTAGCAGAAAAATGTTAAATGAAATAAGTTTTAAGGAAATGAATAAGTTAAGGGTGAGTATTTTTTTTTTAAACTTTATCAAATCATTCATATTTTTATGTGGTTTAATTATAGTTGTTTTGTTCATTTTTGCTTTGTTTATTTTTGCTTTATACCATCTGTAAGATTAAATTGGAGTATTTAAAATAATGTTCTAAAGGGTTTGAATTTGATTTAATTGTTGGAAAGTACGGAATATATCTGAGAAGTACTGAAAATATTTTGTGTTTGCAAAATAAAAACCATCTGGCTCTAAATTTAATTCCTAATTGTTTCTATATTATTATATTTATTATTCAGTGTATGTTCTGGTGTCTTTAGGAAAGCTTAACTGATATGTTTAAAAAACTAAATTTTAATCTTATTCTTTCATATTTAAATAGTTTTTCATATGTATACATGTCGTCATGTTGAATTTATTATTCATGGTAAATTGAATATATTTTTGCAGATTAGCAAAAGAAAAAGTAATGTATGAAAAAGAAGCTTTGAAAGAGAAAGAAAAGTTAGAAAAAATGCAAGCTTCTGGAGAAGATAGTTATTTAATAAGAAAACAGGTTAATGGTTTAATTTATTTATGCTATTTTTTTCCCATCTTTTCTAAGGCAAAGGGGGTTTGCTGCTTGCTCGCTTTATTTACTCACTCTCACAATTGCTTCATTATCATTATTGTTATTTGATGATAATAAACAGATTGTTACTTTACAAACCAAGCTCGCTTCGCTTGCTACTAACTTAGGTACATTGCAAATGCACAAAAATCTAAGAATTCAAAACAATCATTCAAATTCATATAACAACTTTCTTTTAAAAAAATTACATCTTTTTAGTAAATACTAAGTCATTAAAATGAATTTGAATCCAAATAAATGACATGTAATTTGTTAAACAAATTAGAAATGTGCTATAGTCTAAAATCTTAAAGCGTAACAACACAACTGAGTCTCATTTTTCAATGAATAACTAATAACAATAATAAAACAAATAAATTCTTGATATAAGTCAAAAATCGTCAAATAAATTCGTAATACAAAAATTCGTGGAAAAAAACGCTTTCGACAAAATACTAAAATAAAGATCTATCGACAAACACTACTCACTTCTGCCTAGCTTAATAGTATGAGATCGTCGCAGCTGATGCTCTCTCAGGTTATTTCAGTTTCCGTTTTTAAAAGCGCTATATGTTGAGCCATCTCAAGTAGATTTGGCATGTGACATTTTTAGCGGCAATCATTGGTTGATTTTCTAGCGTTGCCATTTGGGGAGTTGTAATGAGGCTTTTTTTTGTTGCCGTGTAAGAGAAATATATATTGAGATATTTTTTAAATGTATTAATACAGATTAAATTTTAGATTTTACTGTGAAAAAAATTAAAGATAATAATAATTTTAATCCATTATCATTACAACTTCTTATTTAAACTTGATTTTGATTATCATAGGTAATTTAGTTTTCAATAAAAACTCAGTAAATGTTTTTTTTTTTTTTCAAAGAGATTACATGGGATAGAACAAAAAGTGAATTTCTAATATTGTTTTACAATTTTAAATAGCTATTTTGTATTTGATTGCATTTGTATTGTGATAGCATTCATTGACAGGACATAATTTTACATAAAATTTATTATGAGAATAAATATAATTTATATAAATGTGAACATTTTATATTAAAAAGTAAATGTAACTAAATGTATTGTTTAATAATTACTTGACAGTAATTTTGTATGCTTTTAGTTGCAAAGTAAGACAATATCCTTTTACTTCATAATATGATGAAGGTACACACTTTTAGTTTTATGGTCTTAATTTTAAATAAGAATCATAAATGGATTATAAGAATCATAAAGAATCAAAGGATAGTACTAAGAGGGGTTGATATATAAATGTTACAGTTAAATACCATTGAGTAAAAGATAAGTAATTTATAGGTAAATATCATTATAACTCTTATTTATGCTGATAATAGCCAGAGACATTTTAATCATATTTGTTTTGATTTTTTGGCCCAATTGAAATGTCGCAACAACGATCATAAACTATTTTAGACAACTATCTTTTTCTGATCAGGGGTGGAATAAAATTAAGACAATTTAGTCGTTAATCCTGAGGATGAGTAGCTAAAAGATAATTATGGCCCATAAACATTTTCACTTGTGCGTGTACATGTTTCAACTATATATATGTATGTAAATTTTGTATCCTCCTTCCCGGCCTAAGACCTGTTTTAATCCTTCCACTCGGCAACAGCATTTTATATATGCTCACTGATAATTTATTTTATGGTCTTAGTTTAGTAACCCCTCGACCAACAGACCATAGTTAATTTTGTTCCCTTATGAGATACATAACTTCATTTCAGAAAATTTAAACTTGTAGTTAAACTATATAATTAAAATTTTTAATATTTAATTATAATTCTAATTATTTTTCAATAATTTTGCTGATTATTTGAATTTGAGTTGCATGTTTTTTTCCCCCTTGAACACACCAGTTTCTTATATTGCATTAATAATTAAGCTAAATTAAAATTTATTACTCTATATTTAAATTAAGATTTATGACATCATATTACAATCAGCATTTATCACATCATATTATAATTGACTTTTGTTGTTTTAAATCTTCCAAAAACTAATGAATTAATCCTGGTTCGAAAGAATAATTTTAATAAGGACAATATTTGAATAAATTTCCCCCTTAGTGTAGCGCAAACATTTTAGAAAACATTTGGCAGAAGCCTTTTGATTATCTATTTTATGCAGATAGCTAATACTTTCACACCATCTTTGAAAGAGAGGCTATTAATGTGCACACTAGCTAGCCATCAAGTTGCAGTCTGTTAGCTTCAGTCACAATCAAGGTTTTTCAAAGATTTACCTATCCAATGAATGAAAGTGTCTTACTTAGCTGTCAAATCTGATGAAGAAGGCCAAGCCCCCACACCCTTGGATGTTCTATCTACATTAAAGATATAATGTCTTCATTTTCAAAGTAATATTTTCTTTAATTTTATCTTTTGGAGGGAGTCATATTGTTGCAGGCGTACACAGATTCTGTTATTCTGTAGAACGGGATACCAATAGCTAGAAAAATGTCTTGGCTCTTTCATCTTCTACTAATTTTAGTTGGATAAATGGAATGGCCTTAAAGCCTAGGGTGACCCTAACAGGAGCGAACTTTCAATGCACTTCACCCGAGAACATCTTTCCGCTGTGTTGAACAATTCATATTTCTTTCATCACATCACACTTAATGTTAACTGCAATAATTAATTTAAATTATAATCAATTAAGATTAGGATCAATTGCAATCTGTATTAAATCACTTTTTGAGGATTGTTTCATTCTATGATTTCTTTGCAGGAAGAAGTGATGAAGGAATCTCGGATGATGATTCCAGATACTATAAAACGTTATCAAGTTGCTTATCAAGAACTACAAGAAATGTTGGTAGGTAATTAATACCACAGGGTTCCCAAGGTCCTTAAAAACTGCTTAATTTTTATTTTGGAATATAAGGGCTCTTAAAAGTACTTAATTTTGGCGCAAGGTTTTTATAAGTCCTTAATTATTCAGCATCACTATCGGAACAATTTTTCAGTTCAATTTTTTAAAACAAAATACCGTTCTTTTATCACCTAGAATTGGACCATGCATAGAGGGCATGCATCATTTTAGAGAGACAAAAATGAATGTGTTTGAGGGGAAGGAAGCTTGTCCTTTTATTAATATATTGGTTCTTTCATAATGCTTTTGCAGAGGGGGGGGGCAGTTTTAAGGTAACTAAGTTGAAGACCCACAATAACCTTCAAAATTGACAGAATTCAAGAAATTCAGTTCTACTGGTCATCTGCTTATAGGAATTAAGTAAAACCCTAAGAAAAGAAGTATCAGAAATATTTTTTTAACTAGAATCCGTAACGAAAGCTATTTCCTAAAATCTTGAAGAATTTAATTAATTTGTGTAATATTTCAATGTGTAATAAGTAACTAAATTTATTGAAAGCAGTGACATTTTTGTAAAATTCCTTATTGTACTAAAAATTAAACAGATTTGTGATAAACAGGGCTTGAAAAATCCCACTCCACTTATGTTTTTCATCAAAAACCTGGGTTTTTGATGAAAACCTCAAATTTTTTCAGAAATACTTTTCCTGAGTACTAAATAAGAATGCATGATTTGCTTCTAACAAGAAAATTAAATATTTCACTATTTATAACTTGTTTAGTTGCAATGTAAATTTTTTTTAAAAAGTTTTATATTGTTACACTATTATTTTTGTTTCTTAAGGATAAGCAGATTGTTACATAATATTTAAATCTACTCAATTAAAAGATCCTTAGATATTAATAAAATCTTTATTCAGTTAACATTGTAACTTAATATACTGTTTGTTTTTTTTTAGATTTTTATTCAATTTTTGGTTCCTTTAAAAATAATTTTCACCAGATTGTTTAGTAACATCATGTAAAGTTAATTCCTAATAACAGGCTTGGCTAGAAATAATTTTGTGTAAAGCTCATTATAAAAGTAAATATAGCACATTTGTTATTTAGTAATAAGTTAATTGGTAAATTGTTAAGTTATTTAGTAAATTGTTAAGTTATATACCGTTTTCAATATGTTTTTCATAAAATATTTAAATATTTTTTTACAAAACGTTACCTGATAAGGTGGTATTACAGGATTATTTTATAATAAGAGTACCACTTTTAGTTTTCAACTGTTAATTTGTGATAAAAAAATTTTCAAATCATAATAATAGTTAGAGTGTATTAGGAATAATAGAGGATGATGAAGAAATATTACTAGTAAAAATCTATAAATGATTAAAATATAAATAATTTATCAGTATTTATTAATTAAGGAACCTTATCAACTTTCTGGCCATAGGAATATGTTGATATCTTTGAAAAATTGTTTTAGACCCTTTTATTTACATGTTTACTAACTGATAAAAACCTAATAATAAGAACTAATAAAAGGGAACTAATAATAATAAAAATTTGTTTGAAAATTATAAATCTTTTCAAATGTAATTGTATTTTTATTCTATATAAATTTTCATAAAAATATTTATTGCAATGAATTTAAAAAATATATTGAGTATGCCTTATGTAAAAAATGTGGAATGATTTAAGGTGCTTAGATATTAGTATCACCTGTTTTTACTCAAAATGGGACTTAATTTTACATGGCATAGTTAAGAAAACTATTCTCAAGCATAACTGTAATTCAACTTTTTAGTATTAATTATTTTAAGATATACCTTTATGAATAAACATTTTATAAATAGAAAAGAAAGATTTATTTATAGCGTAACTGAATATTTAGCAAGATTGGCCCACAAATGAATATGTGATGCTGGTCTAGTAGCGAAATATAAAAACTTGTTGTAATAAATTTTTCAATGTTTTTGCCAAATTTCTTTATTTACTCTTTTTTTTTTAATATACATGAAAAAAATTGCAGATCTTAATTTCTGGACAGAATTTTACAATTCAATTTCAATGAAATCATTAAAAATTGAATATGGATTAGTTTCATGGATGATGTTAACCTTTAACAATCTGAATATGTTTATTAAAAAAAGCCCAACCCGGCAGAAATTGCCCGGTACTTTGGCGAGCCCTGTTAATGAATGCAATTATATCAGTGCTTACATTATGATAAAATTGTTTATTTTTTTATTAATAGATTTTTTTTTAAGAAATGTAAAAAATTGGCACTGTTACTGGTAATATATATATGATGATTAACAATCATTCTATTTTTAAAGTCCTTAGTTTTTCAAAGAAGTCCTTAATTGTTTCAAGAAAAGGTCCTTAAAAGTGCTTAATTTTTGCCTTGTTAAAAGAGTGGGAACTCTGTATCAAAACTTACATCTGTTTACTTTATTATGTGTAAATGCTTTGCACTAAACTTTATTGTAAGATGCTAACAATTAATATGTATTGTTAAAACAAATGTGTGTCAAGTTAAATGTGTTAAAAGTTTTCTCTCTCTCTCTATCTTTTTTTTAATATACATGAATAATAAATAGTTTCACCTGTAAACAGGAATTGAAAATAAATAATACATGAATAATAACATGAATAATAAATAGTTTCAAAATCCTTGAAAAAAGTTTTTTTTTGTCTTTTGAAATGTTTAAACTTCTCTCTTTGACTACTATTTAATTCTTGTTAATTATATTCTGATAATATATTCTTATTAATTGTAGTTAAACTTAACCAGATGGTTTAAAGTATATTTTCTATATTTATAATATATATATATATATATTAGGAAAATGATGTAGAGCTATCTGAGGAGGAAGTATATCAAGCTGCTGCAGAAGTTTTAAAAGNTTACTTTTCTCAACAACTGAAATTTAGAATAGTGTGATTAAGAAAAATATGTGAACTGTTTGCAATTTCAAATTAATATTGAAATACACAGGTTTAGAATTTTCTACAGTGAAAAGTTTTCAGAACTTCAGTGTTTAAAAAAGTATAAGAAAGCTAGCTGTTAAGAGCGTATCCAATGAGCGAGCAAAGCGAGCATCGGATTGCGAAAGCAGTTCCGGGGGTTGGTGAGCACCAGCGAGCAGGGGGCGAAGCCTCCTAGTAAAGTATATATATAACTAAAGTATACACTGAAGTATATACTAATTAGTTGCCCAATTTGCTATGAAACTTTGGAAAACAAAGTATGCCTAAAATTACGTAGCATTTCTACTATCATCTAATAATTAGGACCGAGAACTTTATTAAATATTTACACAATTTGATGAGAAAACTAAGTTTTCATCAATTTCAGTCAGTGCCACTCTAAAAGATTGGATTGCGTAAACAGGCCTTAAGGTGAATGCTTTACATAAACCTATTAAAGTGCTCTCACACCAGAAATAATTCTTAGTGCACTTTTAACATTTCTCACAGAATTATATGAATTTATGGTTAAAAATATATTGCAGCTGACCATTATGAGAAACTGGAACGATTTTGCAATATTTTATTGCCTTATATTTTCACACCAAGCTTAGCAGAAGAATGTTAAATAAAATAATTTTTTTTTTTAAACTTTATCAAAAAACAACAATTTATTTTTATCTTAAAAAATTACAGTAACAAATTTTACCTTATATTTCTTCCCTTGTTTTATTTTTCTGTTAAAAAATATTAATAAGGGTAGAAAGTTCTATATTTTAAACAATTTATTATTTAGTCAATCATTATAATTTCATATTTGTATTGTCTATTAATAATATCTATTCTATTGTAATTCAAATAATTTTCGACGCATAAAACTTTTAATAAATTGAGATATTAATTAATAATTTTTCATGTGGTCTAATTATAGTTGTTTTGTTTATTTTTGCTTTATACCATTTGAAAGATTAAATTGGAGTATTTAAAATTGTGTTCTAAAGGGTTTGAATTTGATTTAATTGTTGGAAAATACGGAATATATCTGAGAAGTACTGAAAATATTTTGTGTTTGCAAAATAAAAACCATCTGGTTCTAAATTTAATTCTTAATTGTTTCTATATTATTATAAAAGATTATTTATTATTATTTAGTGTATGTTGCGATTTCTTTAGGGAAGCTTAATTTATGTATTTAAAAAACTTAATTTTAATGTTATTTTTTGATATTTAACTAGTTTTTGATATGTATACATGTCCTCATGTTGAATTTATTATTCATGGTAAATTGAATTAATTTTTGTAGATTAGCAAAAGAAAAAGTAATGTATGAAAAAGAAGCTTTGAAAGAGAAAGAAAAGTTAGAAAAAATGCAAGCTTCTGGAGAAGATAGTTATTTAATAAGAAAACAGGTTAATGGTTTAATTTATTTATGCCATTTTTTTCTTTCTATAGGGTAAAGGGGGTTTGCTACTTGCTCGCTTTATTTACTCACCCCCACAATTGCTTCATTATCATTACTGTTATTTGATGATAGTAAACAGATTGTTACTTTAAAAAATATATTTTTTAAATGTATTAGTACAAATATAATTTTAGATTTGACGGTGAAAAAAATTAAAGATAATAATAATTTTACTCCATTATCATTACAACTTTTTATTTAAACTTGATTTTGATTATTATAGATAATTAAGTTCACTATAAGAACTCAGTAAATGTTTTTTTGTCAAAGAGATTATATAGAATGGAACAAAAAGTGAATTTCTGATATTGTTTTACAATTTTAAATAGCTATTTTGAATTTGATTGCATTTGTATTATGATTGCGTTCATTGACAGGACATAATTTTACATAAAATTTATTATGAGAATAAATATAATTTATTAAAATGTGAACATAAAATATTAAAAAGTAAATGTATCTAAATGTATTGTTTAATAATTACTGGACAGTAATTTTGTATGCTTTTAGTAAAATGTTGCATAGTAAGACAATATCCTTTTACTTTATAATATGATGAAGGTACACACTAGTTTTATGCTCTTAATTTTAAATAAGAATCATAAATGCTTGTATCAAAGGATAGTACTAAGAAGGGTTGATATATAAATATTATAGTTAAATACTATTGAGTAAAAGCTAAGTAATTTATAGGTAAATATCATTATAGCTCTTATTAATTTATGCTGATAATTGCCAAAGATATTTTAATCATCTTTGTTTTGATTTTTCGGCCCAATTGAAATGCCGCAACAACAGTCATAAACTATTTTAGACAACTATCTTTTTCTGATCAGGGGTGTAATAGAAATTAAGACAATTTAGTCGTTAATCCTGAGGATGAGTAGCTAAAAGATAATTATGGCCCATAAACATTTTNCACTGTGAGATATATATATATATATATATATACATAAATATTGTACCCTCCTTCCCGGCCTAAGGCCTGTTTTAATCCTTCCACTCGGCAACGACGTTATGTTTACTATATACTCACTGATAATTTATTTTATGGTCATAGTTTAGTAAATCTCAACCAACAGACCATAGTTAATTTTGTTCCCTGATGAGATACATAACTTCATTATATTAATATTTAATTATAATTCTAATTATTTTTCAATAATTCTGCCGATTATTTGAATATGAGTTGTGTGTTTTTTTCCCTTAAACACATCAGTTTCCTATATTGCATTAATAATTAAGCTAAATAAAAATTTATTACCCTATATTTAAATTAAGATTTATGACATCATATTACAATCAGCATTTATCACATCATATTATAATTGACATTTGTTGTTTTTAATCTTCCAAATACCAATGAATTCAATCCAAGTTCAAAAGAAGCATTTTAATAACAAGAACGATATTTGAATAAATTTAGAATAACATTTTAGAATATGTTTGCAAAAGCCTTTTGATCTCTATTTTACGCAGATGACTAATATTTTCGCATCATCTTTGAAAGAGAGGCTCTTAATGTGCCCACTAGCTAGCCATCAAGTTGCAGTCTGTTAGCTTCAGTCACAATCAAGGTTTTTCAAAGATTTACCTATTCAATGAATGAAGAGTGTATTACTGAGCCGTCAAAACTCTATTTTAAATCTAATGAAGAAGGCCAAGCCCCCACACCCTTAGATGTTCTATCTACATTAAAGATATAATGTCTTTTGATTTTCAAAGTACTATTTTTCTTTAATTTTGATTTTTGGAGGTAGTCATATTGAGGCGAGGTAGTCATATTGAGGCAGGCATACACAGATTCTGTTATTCTGTAGAACGGGGTACCAATAGTTAGAAAAATGTCTTGGCTCCTTTGTCTACTAATTTTAGTTGGATAAGAATGGCCTTCATGTCTAGGGTGACCCTAACAGGAGCGAACTTCCAATGTACTTTACCCATTTCACCCAAGAACATCTTTCCGCCGTGATGAACAATTCACATTTCTTTCATCACATCATACTTAATGTTAACTACAATAATTAATTTAAATTGTAATAAATTAAAATTAGGATCAATTGCACTCTGTATTAAATAAATTTTTGAAGATTGTTTCATTCTATGATTGCTTTGCAGGAAGAAGTGATGAAAGAATCTCGGATGATGATTCCAGATACTATAAAGCGTTATCAAGTTGCTTATCAAGAACTACAAGAAATGTTGGTAGGTAATTAATATCGCAGGGTTCCCACGGTCCTTTAAAGTCCTTAAAAACTGCTGAATTTTTATTTTGGAATATAAGGGCCCTTAAAAGTACTTAATTTTGGCGCAAGGTTTGTAAAAGTCCTTAATTTTTCAGCATCACTATCGGAACAATTTTTCAGTTCAATTTTTTAAAAACAAAATACCGTTCTTTTATCACCTAGAATTGGACCATGCATAGAGCAATCATTATGCATCATTTTAGAGAGACAAAAATGAATGTGTTTGAGGGAAGGTGGCTTGTCTTTTTATTAATATATTGGTTCTTTCATAATGCTTTTGCAGAGGGGGGGGGGGGCAGTTTTAAGGTGCCTAAGTACAAAACCCACACTAACCTTCAAAATTGACAAAATTCAAGAAATTCAGTTCTACTGGTCATCTGCTTAGAGAAATTAAGTAAAACACTAAGAAAAGAAGTATCAGAAATATTTTTTGAACTAGAATCCATAACGAAAACTATTTCCTAAAATCTTGAAGAATTTAATTAATTTGTGTAATATTTCAATGTGTAATAAGTAGCTAAATTTATTGAAAGCAGTGACATTTTTGTAAAATTCCTGATTGTACTAAAAATTAAACAGATCTGTGATAAACAGGGTTTGAAAAATCCCACACCACCTATGTTTTTCATCAAAAACCTGGGTTTTTTTGTGTTTTTGATGTAAACCTCAAATTTTTTCAGAAATTCTTTTTCTGAGTACTAAATAAGAATGCATGATTTGCTTCTAACTAGAAAATCAAATATTTAACTATTTATAACTCGTTTAGTTGCAATGTAATTTTTTTAAAAAAGTTTTATATTGTTACACTTATCGCCTTAGCCATCGCCGTTACTCATTTAGCACCACCCAGGAGGCACGTGTGATTTAAGGATACTTCACTAAAGCAGTAATCCTTATCGACTCTAAGGCAGCTATCCAGGCAGTTGCCATAAACCATGATTCAGATACTCAGACTATTTCAGATATTAGAGATAATTTGATTTTTCTCGAGAATGCCAACAAAATTATTATGTTCCAGTGGATCCCTTTGCATGTAGGAATCAATGGCAATGAAAAGGCAGACCAACTGGCCAAGAAAGGAACACTCGAACCACAATGTAATAAACCGATTCCACCAGATTCCCTTAAAAAACAATTTTCCGAGAAACTTAAGACCAACCTAAAGCTCAATCAAGCAGTAATAACCAATATATGGAAAACCCTGGGCTAACATCCAAAACAGTTGGAAGAAATTTTGTCACAGTCCTCGTAAGAAGGCTGTGGCAAACTTCAGACTCTCAACAGGCCATGACTGCTTGGCGGAGCACCTCAACAGAATAGGTATAATTCCATCTGGCGAGTGCCAAATCTGCAATTCGGGAACCATGAACTCAGACCACTTGCTTGTATGCCCTTTACTGGACAAACAATCCTAAGAGCGGGGTGATTTGTGTAAACTTTACTGGGATGCCAGAGATCACATGAACTCTCTGTAAAGACTACTCCTCATTCTTCACTGTATATATACATATATTTTTCTTACTTTAATTTTTTCTATGTGTTCTTTTTGTATTAATATGTGTTTGTCATGTGTTTTCTTTGCTTGTTATTGTAATTTTGTTCCTTTTTACTCCTTGTTTAAGTCCACTTAAAGTTGAACATTGTATATGGATTAATATTTCCAATAAAGCCATATGTAACAACATATTGTTACACTATTTTTTTTTCTCTTAAGGATAAGCAGATAGTTAAATAATATTTAAATCTACTCAATTAAAAGATCCTTAGATATTAATAAAATCTTTATTCAGTTAACATTGTAACTTAATATACTGTTTGTTTTTTTAAAAATTTTTATTCAATTTTTGGTTCCTTCAAAAATAATTTTTCACCAGATTGTTTAGTAACATCATGTAAAGTTAATTCCTTATAACAGGCTTGGCTAGAAATAATTTTGTGTAAAGCTCATTATAAAAGTAAATATAACACATTTGTTATTTAGTAATAATTTCAAAATTGTTAACTTATATGCCGTTTTCAATATGTTTTTCATAAAATATTTCACTATATTTTTACAAAACGTTGCCTGATAAGGTGATATTACAGGATTATTTTATAATAAAAGAATACCACTTTTAGTTTTCAACTGTTAATTTGTGATAAAAAAAATTTCAAATCATAATAATAGTTAGAGTGTATTAGGAATAATAGAGGATGATGAAGAAATATTACTAGTAAAAATCTATAAATGACGAAAATATAAATAATTTATCAGTGTTTATTAATTAAGGAACCTTATCAACTTTCTGGCCATAGAAATATGTTGATATCTTTGAAAAATTGTTTTAGGCCCTTTTATTTACATGTTTACTAACTGATAAAAATCTAATAATAAGAACTAATAAAAACAAACTAATAAAAGAGAACTAATAAGAAACAAATTTGTTTGAAAATTATAAATCTTTTCAAATGTAATTGCATTTTTATTCTATATTCATAAAAATATTTATTGCAATGAATTTAAAAAATATATTTAGTTATACCTTATGTAAAAAATGTGGAATGATTTAAGGTGCTTAGATATTAGTATCACTTGTTTTTACTCAAAATGGGACTTAATTTTGCATGGCATAGTTAAGAAAACTATTCTCAAGCATAACTGTAATTCAACTTTTTATTATTAATTATTTTAAGATATACCTTTATGAATAAAACATTTTATTAATAGAAACGAAAGAATTATTTATAACGTAACTGAATATGTAGCAAAATTGGCCCACAAATGAATATGTGATGCAAGTCTAGTAGCGAAATATAAAAACTTGTAATAAATTTTGCAATGTTTTTTGCTAAATTTCTTTATTTACTCTTTTTTTTTTTAATATACATGAAAAAAATTGCAAATCTTAATTTCTGAACAAAATTTTACAATTCAATTTCAATGAAATCATTAAAAATTGAATATGGCTTAGTTTCATAGATGATGTTAACCTTTAATGATCTGAATAGTTTTTTTAAAAAAAAAGCCCAACTCGGCAGAAATTGCCCGGTACTTTGGCGAGCCCTGTTAATGAATGCAATTATATCAGTACTTACATTATGATAAAATTGTTTATTTTTTTTTTATTAATCGATTTTTTTTAAGAAATGTAAATAATTGGCGCTGTTACTGGTAGTATATATATGATGATTAACAATCATTCTATTTTTGAAGTCCTTAATATTTCAAAGAAGTCCTTAATTGTTTCAAGAAAAGGTCCTTAAAAGTACTTAATTTTTACCTTGTTAAAAGAGTGGGAACTCTGTACCAAAATTTACATCTGTTACTATCTGTGTAAATGCTTTGCATTAAACTTTATTGTAAGATGCTATCAATTAATATGTATTGTTAAAACAAATGTGTGTCAAGTTAAATGTGTTAAAAGTTTTTTTTTTCTCTCTCTTTTTTTTAATTTCCTAAAACACCCTTTATAATAATAAATAGTTTCAAAATCCTTAAAAAATATTTTTTTTGTCTTTTGAAATGTTTAAACTCCTCTCTTTGACTACTATTTAATTCTTGTTAATTATATTCTGATAATATATTTTTGTTAATTATAGTTAAACTTAACCAGATGGTTTAAAGTATATTTTCGATATTTATAATATATATATATTTTTTAGGAAAATGATGTAGAGCTATCTGAGGAGGAAGTATATCAAGCTGCTGCAGAAGTTTTAAAAGAGTCATCAAATATCGTAGCAGCAACATCGTAAATCATGTGCCTTATACTTATGTGATTTTGCTTTCAGAAGCAGAATGTATATAATTTACTTATGTAATTCCTTACATGTTGTGTTATTGTAAAAATTAAATTCCTTAATTTTTTTGGACATATTTGTTACTTTTTTGTTAAATATTACATTATGAATTATAAATTTCTTTTTGCTTTAGTATGTTTGTTATGGGCTTTTTATTGTATATTAACAATATTTTCTTATAAATTTGTTGTATTAAGTTCAGGAATTTTGATTATTTTTTTCAACTGATATAGTTTTATCCTATTTAATATTTTTTAATTATCTGTTTATTTCGTTTATAAGTATTAACAGTATGAAATGAACCTTTAGTTGTTCAATTTTGATCCTAAAATTTAGTACAGGATATGATACAGTTACTTCCTTTAAGCAACAAATTTGCTTCTCTTGAACTTTTCTGATGAAAAACGACTTTGCATTGAAATTTTTGTAAAAATTTGCATATCTAGATCGCCAGCTAAAAGGCTAAATGAAATAAAGCATATTTCTTCTTTGATATGTTTATTCCTTTTTAAAATGTTACAGAAATATTTTAATGAGTTTTATTATTTTTTTTTAAGTATCGAAGTACCCCAATTATTTGACACCTTTTTTGATCACATCTATAATTTATGTGTATGTTACCACTAAAGTGTTGCAATGAGTTTTTCAACAGATTATCTTGCTAGTGTTAAAATTAAGTAGGGTGATTCGTTACAGTGCTAAAAATTGGCTCATTTCTCAAACTATCCTGGTAATCTTTTTACTACCTAGATAATCTGCTCAATCACCCTGGTAATCTGCTAGAAAATCGTTAAAATTAAAACAAGATTTTTTGCTGGGACAACAGCAACCTTTCTGTTTGCTTAATTTAACATGTTATTTATTTTTCACTATATATAAAAAAAAATCAAGTTATCAGAAGTGATTGTGCTCACGAAAAAATCCGAATTTTTCGCTAATCACGATCCGAAAGTTTTCGGAAATCCAAAGTCTAGAAGTTTAAGGAAATCATCGATCACATTTATATATAAATATTCTTGTATATTTTATTTAAAAATATTAGAACTAGAATTTATACTTGGCATCTCTTTCATTTGTAAAAATTTTTTCTGGTAGAATAATAAATGTGTTTAGAGATAAAAGTAAACTTGCACATAATTATGCATTTAAATTATGCTGCCTATAATTCATTTAGAATATCATGTTTTGAAAATTTAAATGATTTAAGTTTATAAAGATATTAATTTTTTAAATGATTTTACTCAGGAAATTTTCAGGATTTTTGTGTTGGGCCCACAATTACCCCTGAGTGATTAAACCAAAGAATCATTAGTTGATAGAATTAATTTATGAATCACTTTAAAATCTGTAATACAAAGATTTAAACAATTTAAAGTATTATTACTAGAGCCCGGAATTTGATGACCTAAAAAATCTCAGCTAATGTCCTTAAAAAGTGCAAAAAATGCCCTTAAAAATGCTCAAAAAATGCGAAAATTGCTCTTAAATTCCTTAAATAAAGTAAAAATATTGAACTAAAACAATGTTTTACTCTTTAAAATTATTATGAGTAATTTAAAAAATAAAAAGCAATGCAATACTTGTTCTATGTTCATTAAAGTTTGAAAAATATGTTTTATATCCTAAAATAACAAAAAAAGGAAAATATATTGACACCAAAACATTTTCATTTTGTATAGAAACTTTAATGAATATAACAACTTCCATCTCATAATATTACTAAATATCAGAATTACATTGGATTATTAAATGTTTTTTGATAATTTGAAATGTAAACGAGGGTTTCTAATCTGAAAGTAAATTTTTATACCTGGAGAAGCTTCTTTCAACATCTACTGATGTTATTGATTCGTACTTGAAAAAGACAGTCTCACTTACTGACAATTCTTCTTCAATTTGAAAAGATGTTTCTTCACCTGTTAATATCCTGGAGATTTTCTTTATTGTTTGGAAGCCAGTGTAATAATAAAAATTGATAAAAAACAATAAAAATTGGAAAAAATTAGCAGAAAACTTAAATGCTTTAAAATGCAAAATACACCCCAAAATTTAAAGAAAAATGCCCGATAAATCTAAAAAAAATGCTCTAAAGGACAAAAAATTTCCAAAAGTGCAAATGTCATCAAAATCCGGGCCTTAATTATTACTGTTAAGCCTTTGATAGTGAGGTTTCGACCATACACATAACAATTAGTTGTTTGATATAATAGATTCTATTCCGAAGCTGGTATCCTGTGCATTGGCTTGACTCATGCTATTACCTCGGTATATTTTGGATTATCAACTATCTATAAAGAAATTGAAGGATGAGATTGTTCTTCAGCAGATTCCGGACCACTGTGGAATAAGTGGTAATGAAAAAACTGTCATTCTGAATAGAAAAGGCGCTGGTGTTTTGCAACTAATACTTAGTAATATCCAAGTATGATTAAGTATCAAGAATTCTTTTTAGACTCGAGGAGAACTGGAACAGTTTACAAAACAGTAGAACAGTTTTGAAAAGTTGCTTATTCTTTCCTTTACTGGATTTCCCCCGCTGTGAGGCATTTGCAATGTCAGTCTTTAAATTTTTTATTCAACATGACAGTCTGGCTGAATGTCTTTTTAAAATTGGATCTTTCTGGACCCCCACTGTACCTCTAGCAGGGAACATGTCATGGATGGTCACCATATTTTCAACTGCGGAGCACTTCATGTTACTATCTTGACCGAGCAACACTGGGAGACAAGAAGTCAAATGAGACGACTGTTTTTATTTTAATTCTTCTTTTTCATTTTTTTTACTTATTTTTTTTAAACTTGTTACATTTTGTTAAGTTCTCTGTTATTGGAAACGAAAAAAAGGAAATGAACTTAATATCATTGATTGATTTTTCAATATCTAGAAAATCAAGTCCATAAATAGAATCAACAAATCGGAAGAGGAAATGAAAGAAACATTTTAATTTAATGATATAGAAAACTTTAATGCACATAATAGCTCGGTAAATTGCAGAAAACTCTTGATACCTTATTTCAACACATTACCCTTGTTAATCAGCAGATTAACTAGGTTATTTGCATATTCATGGCTTTTGAGATTTAATGGTAACATACTCACACATATATAAATATCTATATATGTGTGTATGTATATTACCATACATATATATGTAGTTTTACATTATTTTAAGCAAACAAATATAAGTAGAATATCTAAGAATAGATTTAGCTGTTTTTGAAACTATTCACCTTAATTGATGTTAATTAAGAGAAGTTTGAGATTAAATTAAGATTTTTTTAAGACACTTAAATCAATGAATTTGTGTCTCATAAAATAATTTTATTCATAGTCAATAATTTGAATAAATGGGAGTTGTTCAGTTGAACTTTGTACACTAAAAATTTTATCCTCTACTACAATTGGTGGATGTTGAGCATTATCAAATGTAAATTGATTTTTCATAGTTTCTTTAATGTAATTTTCGCTGTCTATACTTTCTATTGGATCTGAATCTTCCATGATTATTTCTGTTCTCCATTCACTGTTAGGCGTATCTTCGAACCTGTTGGAATAAATGTAAATATTTTTTGTAGAGCTGACTATTCGTCATGAACATCTGTAAGCTCAAGTACTTTAATAAAAATTTTCAAGACGTTTCATAATGTACTGAAAATATGACATCATGAAAAAAATATTTATTTATTATGTTCGAATAGAAATATCTTGTCTTGTTCTAACTTTTCCCCAAATTCAAAAAATGAGATGTAGTGTATATATATATATTAAAGTGTGCGGCTGGTTATCTGAAAATAGAATAGTTATTATTATGTAAAGAAGATAATGTACCCATTGTTGTTTCAGAAATATAAAGGGTTAAGATTTAGTCATCTCCGTTGAACAGCCATCTCAATTTTTTTAAATTTACAACTACCCATATTCAACTCTGCTGCCTTGTAATTTTGAACTCAATCAAGAAGATGAGGGAATTCCTGGATTAAGTATTGGGGAAGAAATTTGTCTTTGTTGATGAAATTAACCTGTATTTGCGTTATATGGCGAGGAAAGCACAGAAACCTTCCACAGTCAGCCAGATGTCAAAGGGACTTTAACCCATGATCCGTCTACCACTGAGGATACTTTACGGCAGCACTGTGTTCGGTGCGAGCCTGGTGCGGGGTTTGTATTAACCAGCAGTCTCTGGGATTCGAACCCGGTTCACCATATTGGGAGGCTAGCGTTCTATCACCAGAGTCATTACGGCTCTAAATTGAAGGGATTGTAAGAAGGAAATAAGGTAAAGTTTTTCACTTTTCTTCATTAACCCTTTCAGGACCGGCAGTAGGTTCCCCCAGACCCATATGCTACGAGTTTTTATGAGCCAAAGAGGAGTTTTTATGCATACTAATACTAGAATACCATATTGAAATCATGTCTGTGTGATCTTCGGCCGCTAAAGTCAGAAGTAATCATTTTACTTTGGCGATCGAAATGTGTTGCGCATATCAGAATTCTTTTTCTATAGCAACACCCAAACATTCTTTCACCATAAGCTTGTTGATTTATTCATAGGAGTAGGAAGTACGTTAGTTTTTGTCTTAATTTTCAATACGACTAAAAAAATTTTAAACTTGATGGAAACTATATGGAACTCAATATTAGTATTCTTATAGTGGGTTAAATTGTCCTGATCACTTCTTGTAATAAACCGTACTCGTTAAATCGTACTTTTATTGTTCTTGAGTCTGCAATAGAATTTTCTCCTTGCTATTTGCTTGCAATTTGCTTTTTATAAAATGCCATACAAATTCTTAACAATATTCTAATAGTAATATTATATTAAATTTAATCGAATTATCTGCATTAATAATTTACTTTGGTTGAAAATTAAATTTTAAAATAAAATTTATTTATAGTTCTGTTTAAAGAAAAATTGTAAGAAATAAGTAAGAGATAAATAAATAAAAAATATATCATCAGTTTTTTTAGTTCACATTTAATTAGTCTGTAAACCTTTGCTAGCAGGATATGTGTTTGACATGCCTGATTTAAATCGGAGCTTATTTATCAGGCTAATCTATCAAAGTCATTTTTAAAATTTTTTATTATTACATACTAATGTTTTCTTTTTACAGGTTAAAAAAAAAAGATTAATAAAATCAAATTGAACAAATTTCTTATTCCATTCAAACTTCTATGCTTAACAGTCTAAAAAAATTTTAAACGAAACTGCTATACGGAAACGTTGGTTTGCTAAAATAAATAAATAGATAAAAAATAATGATTCTAAGCGCAATACGCTAACGTCGTTTCTATCGACGTTTTTCTTTATTAAAAAGTAAAAATAGCTTAAAAAATTCACAAAATTTATTAAAATAGTCTGTTGTTGTCGATGTCTAATAGTCTACGTTTTCGTAAATGTATTAATTTCGTTCATTCTTCTTCCCTATTTGTTTCCTTGTTCATTTGTTGCGCAGAATGCCTTTGTAAAGTGTGATATATTAAATCGTTTCGAACTTTACTGCTTAATTTTGCCTACATCATTTACTTCGTTTCGACATTCTTTAGAATGTATGGATTTTAAACATTTTCAATAATAAATATATCATATTAAATTGTTTTCCTGATATACATTTTATTTCTTATTATAAATATTAATGTTAACTAGACAGTTATTGGCATTACGGAAACTTATTTAAAATTCTGTGCTATCTCGGACTATAAATGTCTTGGTATTAGTACAGAAATAGACTGAATTTGTTGTAAATTTGCTAAGATGACCTACAATAAAAATAGGCTGGCAGATAGCAGCCCCAGACAACGTCTGCGCGACATTTTGTGAATAGAATATGTTAATAAACTGGCCTTAGAATTTTCTTTTAAATGCCGCAACAGAAATTTGTGTAACATTTAGTAAAATAAAGTTTTGTTTTTGAGTGAATTTTTAATTTTCCGAAGCGGAACAAGATTAACTGTGAAATAATCATGATTGTTGTCGGACGAGATTAAATGAAACTCAATTACAAAAAGTGAATACTATTCTAATAAAAATTTTACGAACTACGTTTTCAAGATAGATTTTCTCAGACTTAAAATCTTGGGCTCATCACTTTCGAAATATATGTGAGGGAAATTTTTGAATGCTATATAAATTCATTACGAAAGTGATGCACCTTATGTTTTTCGTTTTAAATATGGCCGGAATAAAACAATTTTCGCCTTTTACATTTACTTTTTCCCTTTTATTATTATTATAATTTTTTTTTTAATTTTGTGTTTGTTAGTTAGTTTATGTTTGAAAATTATTAACATTTTGACTGGTGATAAAAGGGTGAAAATTTCGCTTGCCAATTAGGAAACAACTTCAATTTGTGTTTTCATCCGGCACATTGCTCAATTTGAAATTTGAACGCTAGGTAGTCAGAATTAGGCACGACAATAAATTTTATTTGCATTAGCACGTAGCTTCGGTAGAGACATGAGTGTTCTGGCTGGTCCGAAAATGGTCAAAACTTCGATTACAAGCAAGATTCCACCTTCACTAACATAAAAGCAAATTGATTAAACCATAGTACAATGGTTTTTGCTGAATGCATATTTAAATATACATCGAAATTTTTGGTACCTTTTATGTCTCCGAGAATCTGGATAGCCTTGTTGGAATTCTTCGATCCAAGGCTTATCCCTACCATTTCTTATAATTTTTTCCATATCGGCGAATTGCGATGCCAGTTTTTTGTCATCTATTTCTCGTCGGATTTCTTTCGGGTGAAAAGGAACAAGTAGAAGTTTCCGTTTAAAATGTCTTACCTCGTTAGAAATTATATCTTTTTCGACTTCTTCGTTTGCTCTCTGCTTTCCGAAGTACTCATCATCAACTATCACACCACCTACAAGGCAAAATGAAAAATTCTGCATTCCTCTATAAAAAAAAAGGTAATGCATTCCCTGGGATATATTAACATTAATATTCCCTAAAAATATCATGGAAGTTAAGGCTCCACTTCACAATTAGTGAAGATTTGTTTCCACAATTGTTAATAACAGCAGCTGCTTCAACAAATTGGGGTGCTTTCTGTTACCGTGGAAGTATTTCAAGTGTGTGTGGGGGCAGNAAATATATATATATATATATATATATATATATAATTATTATTATTATTTAGTATTAGTCCGAATTATCTGAACCTCGCAAAAATTAAAATAAAATTAATAACAGAAATTGTTTACCTGTAAATTATTTATCTCTCATTTAGCGGTATTTTTTTAATACTGTTGCTTCTTTTTAAAAAAAATTATTCTCGTTGTGACTTTTGAAATTAATACTTTTCCCATCGGTCAGCAATAGGGACATATTCCTCTGCTGGAGAATGAGTAAGGGAAGGTTTAGCAACAGTTTTTACCAAAGACATTCTTGAAGCTCGCTTGCAATCAGGAGAAATGTTTTTAGTAAGACTCTATTTCAATTTTTTCGTTAGACGCAAAAATATATATCTATTTATTTATTGTAAATTTAATTACACAAATATTGAGTGAAAAGTCTTAATTTTAAAAAGGGCTGTATCCATTCATTTATAAAAAAGTAAGGGGGCTAAAACCCCCATGCCCATGTTTTCTTGACTTCTCGTGCATTGAGATTTTCCGTTTCATCACCTGCTACCCCACATTTTTCTATCTGTGGCGCATCTCAATAATTATTACTATAACCTACGCAATTACTTTAAAAAAAATGTAGCGTTCTTAACTTAGATTTTTCCATGCCTTGTTTAGGTAATTTCCTTTCATATAGTAAATGAACATAAATACGCAATTTAGAGTTCCGGAGAAAATGAACCCTTATTGGATGAACCTGAAAATGATGCTTTACTATTTATTATCATTTAGCTCTGATTTGCTGATCAATTGATCTGCTTCCTTTTTCACTTCATTCCATATATTTATGTATTCGATAACTATATTAAGAATAATGAGAAAATATTATTTAATTAGTCAAATAAAAAACGGATGGTAGTCACATTCAAAGTTGACCAAATTCTCAGCTATTCATAGGCCAAAAACATTAAATGAGACTTGTTGAAGGTCATACCCTTTCTCCCCAGTTCAAGTTCCCTTGTTCAAGTGCATGTTCCCAATTGGGTACTTGCACTTCAAGAAGAAGGAGATCACAGATAACCACACATGTGACCTATGAATGTGATCACACACCGACCGAATTACCGACCTTGCAATTTTGAACCCAATCCAGAAGACAAGAGAACTCCTAGATTAAGTATAGGGAGAATTTGCATTGATACCTTTTTGATGGAACTAACTCTCATTTGCGTTACATGGAGAGGAAAATCACGAAAACCTCACCCGGAACATTACCTTCGTCAACGACATCATTAGCAACTGCCTTTCTTTCACGTCTTATATCATGGTGCACGTTCCCCTTTCTCATTTCTGGTGGAACCACTCGAATAGGTTGATCATAATAGCCGCGATTAATTGGAGCCACAGGTCCAGTCAGGTCATTTTGCTGAACAGGTACATTCTGTCTAATTGGTGCAGTTTTCTCCATCGGGATGCTTGACCCAAAAGGAGGATCCAGCTCAATGTGAGACGTTTCATTAGTCGCGGCAGTTGAAGTGCTTTCAGGAGCAAAGAAGTTCGATATTTTGTTCCATATGTTCGAAAGTACACCTCCTGTAGAGTTAGTTGTCGTTGTAGCTTGAATCGTTGTTGTAGCTACAGTAGTGGTCGTATATTTCACATCATGTACACGACCCTTTCTCTCTGATTCACTTATCTGAAAACCTGTAATGAAAAGCACAATGAAACTAACAAAAACATTATATTTTTAAGAATGCATACATTATGCGGTGGGTTTGAGGGCAGTCACACTTTTTTTCAAATGTGACACTTTAACATCAAGCCAATCCTTAGTATTGTTTCCTGGTAAGCGATTCACGAGGTTTTTGAATTTTCTTTTTAAAACACTTATTTTCTACAAAAATATTCTTAACGCTTTTCTATACGAATTGAAAAGGTAGCTTAGTGTCCAAACTTTTCCTAAGAATATTCAGTACATGTACAATTCTATTAAGATAAATGTTTGATCTATAAAATTTATTAAATCAACTCAAACTTCAACTCAACAATAATTAAACAGCACCACTTATTTACTTTTGAAATGTTATTGAAAGCAATCAGTATTATTAACTTAACCGAGGCTGTTATTCGAAGACTCCGTAGTAATATGAAATGATGCTTTTTTGCTAATAATATGCTATTTTTATAACTGCTGAGAATTTGCAACTGTTACTCATGACTGCTAAGTCAAGTATAGCGTATCTGTAGCAGCGCTGTCTATTCTTATTTTGAAAATGGCGCAAAACGTCAACATGGAGAAAAGCCACAGTTTTGTGACAATGAAAAACGTTTGCGGTCTAATTATATAATATTTAAAAATTTACTCCAATGCTGCATTACCTGGGCCCATAAAAATTTTCAAAAATTGAGAATAAGGCTGAAATTTTGATAATTTTCATCCAGAGAAATGTCACCAAATTGGCGACTATCAAGAAATTTTAATAACTTTTAAAATATTCAAGTTATTTGTCTGTTCCTAAGACCAGATAATTCTTACGACAAGCTTATATATAGATTAAAATCATTGTATTGCGTCAAGTGTAAGACACTAAAACTATGGCTTTTTTTTAATTTATATTAATTTTCCTTGGTGACAGAGCTTCGGAAAACAGCGTTAACGAGTTTATTCACTTGGCAAGGTGGCAAATAACAAAACATCAAAACGTGCAGTACTACTCCTTCAATTCTCAGCTGCCTTCCAGTGGGAAGTAGATGGTTGCTTTTCTTTTGCAGGTTTAGAAAGATAGGAAATGCATTATATTCCCATAGTTAAAGTTTTGTAAAGGTATGTGTTTTATCCAGTATTCCTTACAATGATATTTTTTAAGGGCAACTTTTCGCCATTCACTACATTGGTGTTTTTTAAGGTAAAGGACCAGTACCCGGTATTTTTTACACTAAGAATTTTCTTTTAAATGTAAGAGTCATTATTCGGTAGTTTCTACACCGGCATTTTTACTAATTTTAATTGGGAGATATTCAGAGCCAATTCGAAGTAAAAAATAATGATCCTAACTAATGAAGAAAATATATGAATAAAATTTAAAATAAAAATTAACCCGAAGTGTGACAAATTCTAAGTGTTGGAAAGTTTCATTACGTCTTGTTATTAGAAAATAGACATTTTATTTTCGATTTCTAAGTTCTGAATAGGTTGTTTTGTAATCTTGTGCTGAAATTTTTTAAAAAACAATTTGTATCAGAATGAAGACTTGTTTTTCGTCATATCATTAAATAATACTGAGATAAAATGGTGCAATGCATTTTATCTCAGTATTTTAATTGGATAAGATAGAGCAAAGAATATTTCAGCATTTGTGAAAAACGAAACATTCGATCATTAATTGAATCGATGAAAAATGAGCCTTAATTATAAAAAGTTTGAATAAAAAACTGATTCAAATATATGATTAAAAAATTATTTTAATAATATATTACATTAAAGATATTTTAAATCCAGGGTTTGATTTTTAAGTCTTGTAGTGATTCCTTACATTTCGATAATGTTCTTTCCCTGATTTAAATGTTATTAATAAATACAATTTATGTGAAGTACATTTTATGTAAAGGACTCTAAAGATATACATATATCAAGGGCGATGATTACGTAGCATCTCCCCTAACCCTTCCTTTAATTTATTATACGAATATTCATTTGTGTTGAGTTTCCGTCCGTTCCGCACATTAAATAAGTTAAAGAATTTTTATTTTCAAGTAAATTTTCTTTTATTCGATTCCCCATCAGTAGTTATAATGGTTACTTACGACATTAAGAGATGGCAGCACTAAAAATCTCAGCGTTTCTGAAGAAATATTTGAAATATTTAAAATCTTTCATGTAATTAAATTAACAATTTGTAATTTTTAAAAAAAAATGTAATTATGAAATTTTTTCTTTAGTAATAATCCCAAATTATTAAAACAAATCGGTAGAAATTTTATAATACAGATCTTTCTTTTTATTAGAAGATGAACTTTACTTTTCCAAATCTTAATTTTTTGCTTTTGCTGGGAAATTTCATTGAAGGTGAGGTAGTGAAAGGATATACAAACATTGCAGCTCTTAGAGGAGGACTCTATAACAAGGGAGAAACTTCTCACCGCAAATTCTTTTTCACCTCTATAAGTTATTTAAAATTGAAAATTCATGAAAAGTGAGTTTAAGCAAACCTAGAGTAAGTTTCAATAGTTGAAAAGAAATTTTCAAAATACAAAAAATGAAAACAAATTGAGAGGATAGCTTAGGATTACGCGATGGGGGAAGTTTTCTATCAATAATTTGCTTGCATTTTGAAATTTTTTTTAGCTATTGATACTTCATGGCCTACTCAAGGTTTGCCTGGACTCACTTTTTCTATGCACTAAAATTTAAATTAGTTATGGAGGTGAAATAGAATTTGCGATGAAAAGTTTCTCAAGTGGTATGGTGTCCTTTTAAGGACCAGCGGGAGAAGAAAGAAGCGCACATGGACGAAAACGTATGCGTACGGACGAGTACGCATATTTACTGAAAGAGTACATAGCCATACTAATACGAGAGTACCGAACTGAGATAATATTGGGTGTACAAATTAGTTCGGTCCGTTTTATTTTTTAATCAAAAATGCGTTTATTTCAGAACAAAATGAATGAACAGATTAATGAAAATATTGTCCATGGCTGGCTATCTACTTTTTCCCACCGCTCAGGCAATTTTCGAATTCCATTTCGAAAAAATGTCTCGTCTTTTCAAGCGATCCAAGATAGGAGCCAATTTCCGATTTCTGAGAAAGAAGTGAACTGGTGACCTGCCAAATCGTGCTGCATCCTTCGGAACAACCAGTAATCAGAAGGAGCAATGACAAGCGAATACAGCGGGTGCGGTAAAATATCCCACTTGAGGGTTTCCAAATAATTTTTTACTACTTTTGCGACATCAGGCTGACCGTTATTAGGCAGAAGAATAACTTTGTTTTGTCTTTGCTCGAATTTCTGCCATTTTCCTCATAATGCAAAGCTCAAACGAATCAATTGTAGCCTATACCGATCGCCCGTAATGGAATCACCACGTTGTAGCAGCTCTTAGTATACAAAACTATTCGCCATTCTTCATTCACCATTTACCATTCTTCATCCACCATTCTTGAAACGTCGAAACCATTCCCTACATGATTTATCAATTGGAGCATTGTCACCATAAACTTCTACAACAATTCGATGTGCTTCAGCTGTACTTTTCTTCCAATTAAAGCAGAAACATAAAACCTCCCGCAAATGGTGCCTCGTTACCACAAAACTTGACATGCTCAACAAAGTAAAAAACAGGGTTTTAGTATGAAACTCAAAGCGATATAAACTGAATATTATTAACAGATGTTTGATCTTTCTGAAACCACCGAAACCAGCTGTCACTATGAAACATTCATAACAGCAGAGCGGTCTCTTAAAAACGGACCGAACTAATTTGTACTCCCAATATTTACTAGTGAAGACGTCACGAATTGTAGTACCTCAGCTGTAGCCTTATAAATCGTCTGCACATATCTTATTCCTGCTGGGCTTTTCTACAGGGAAAAATTATAAAAACATTTTTTTTAAATTTAAGCTTGATAAATCTATTTCTCTATATAACATAAAAACATAATGGAGTAACACAGTTTTCAATTGCTGTCGCTGCATTTTTATTGGCTCGAAAATCACTTGGTAGGATCTAGTTTTCCCTCATTCATTTCCATTTTGTTTTGGTCGTCATCAGCATAAAATTAATAGAAGTTTTAAGGGTATTGTTTTTCTATAAATAATTTAGTATCCCCAATTTAAAGGTATTTTCCCGTACTCCTATTATTACGCTTTTGATTTAAGAGTTTAAAACTAAGAGAACTGTTTATTATTATTATTATTATTATTTTTATTATAACGAAATTCTGCGCTACACTTTAAGATAAAGTTATTTAAAAAGGTGTCTAATCTTATTAACCGTTTTGCAATTATATTACAGTTATTACTTAAGGTTATTATATTACGTAATTTAGTACATTCATTAAATGATTTAGAACTTAACGATCAGCTTCATGCACAATGTAATGCAAGCAAAAATAGTATTTAATATATTCGCCCGTTTGGTAAGCGGAAATATTAAATTACGGTTGTCAACTCACCAAATTTGTAAGGNGCACGGCTCAAACGAATCAATTGTAGCCTATACCGATCGCCCGTAATGGAATCACCAGGTTGTAGCAGCTCTTAGTATACAAAACTATTAGCCATTCTTCATTCACCATTCTTGAAACGTCGAAATTATTCCCTACATGATTTATCAATTGGAGTATTGTCACCATAAACTTCTACAACAATTCAATGCGCTTCAGCTGTACTTTTCTTCCAATTAAGGCAGAAACATAAAACCTCCCGCAAATGGTGCTTCGTTACCACAAAACTTGACATACTCAACAAAGTAAAAAACAGGGTTTTTGTATGATACTCAAAGTGATATAAACTGAATATTATTGACAGATGTTTAGCCTCTCTGAAACCACCAAAACCAGCTGTCACTATGAAACATTCATAACAGCAGAGCCATCTCTTAAAAACGGACCGAACTAATTTGTACTCCCAATATTTACTAGTGAAGACGTCACGAATTGTAGTACCTCAGCTGTAGCCATAGAAATCGTCTGCACACACCT